GAATTTTATTAATTTTACTAATTTTTCGGGACAATAATGAAACTGGGGCCCAGTGACAAGATTGCGGATTTTTGGCTTCATTTGTCTCTTTGACAAGTTGTAATATAGTGCTAGGAATGGTAAAACTCACTGACGATGTTGACTACGATGCCGGCGAAACGTCTGGGAATGTACCACGTCCACGGTCCGATTTTGGAAACGATTATGCATGCGTGTTTGACACCGCATTCTTGGCTTCACTAGTTACTTGTTCGTAGTCTTTCGGGCATTCTAATCGATTGCCAGATGCACAAAGATAGATCTTCACCATCCACATTCCAATCTTGGTGAGCTGTTGCGGGAAACATAATCTACTTGATGCAAGACAGACTTTCAACGCATGTGAGATATCAGGGTCTCTTTAAGTTTCGTCCCTACTGTAATGATATACTAAATCAGTTCCCAATTCACTCATCCATTCAGTAGACCAAGGGAAGGCTTGTTATATAAATAATGCTCCATACATTATTCAGTTTCCATGATGATCTGCCGTTAGGCTATTTTAGAAGCTAATTCCTTACGTCCTACAATGTGATCACGTACACTGATATATACGGTTGCTTTCACAACGCATACGAATGAGTACACTCTCTAACTGGTCATAGGTATAGAATGAAGATGCGCCGTCGCGGAAACATCAAAGCTGATGTGCTTCCGCCTGCTCTAGTCCAGCTACCCCCAGCTCCAGCACATCCGGTTCAGCAAACCCCATCAGCTCTCCCCAACCCCCAGATCCTGCCTACTGCCAATCTTCCTTCCATCGAACTCGACAGAGGTCAATTGAACTCAATGTCCCTCGACCAGTCTCAACTACATGGCTGTCAAAAAGGACCGCTCCAGGGTCGATCCAATGGCCTGCTCCCCTTGCCTGCGCCTCTTGAGTCAGCCCCACAGACTCAGCTTGGTTCCGGCTATCTTGGCTGCAGCCGTCCTGTTACTTCGACTACAACAGTAGCCTATAATCTGAGGCGGAAAGCCGTTGCAGGACAGGCTGCATTATCCAGCGAGCCTCGAACAAAGCGTATGTTCTATGGGAGGCCAGTCGAGGCAAGTATGCCAGATCTTGTTACGCTGTTTTTGTCTGATTCCCTATTCTATAATTACAAAAATTAAGTGAAGATGCTGTGAACCAGGATCTCGTGGAGTCCCTTGCATATTTCTTGTGCTGTTCTCATTTCGGTTAAGGCAGCTCTGATGGATTGTTATATTATTTACATCGGAAGACGTTTGATGCCTCTATTTGGGCCTCCATATACTTGTTGGGAGTTTGACAGTCTTCGGCACACCATCCTCTGACAAGACACTCGTAAATTACCTTTAAGCCAATGATCAGATTCACCCTTTTACATACAGTATGGCAAGCACTGAAATTGACGCCACGTCAATTAGAAGACTTGATTTACACTTCACTGTCTAATGCATCGCTAAGGGCCGTTCTAATCTAGGCTCGGCACAAGATCAACGACAGCCTATGGATTACCGAATGTAGCCAAGGAGAGGAGAAGGCTGATAATCAACAAAAAGCAAGAAATAACAGGCAAATTGGCGGAATTTATATTCCGGAAGCGTAAATTTTCTCAAAGGATCCTGAACATATTAACTGCCGAAGTGCAATTCCCATGTTGCTATTCTTTTGTCATATGATACATTCGCAGGAAAACTTTGATGGCAACCTAATCGGTTGCCAGAAGCTAATTCCTTAATTCCTACAATGTGATCACATACACTGCTATATACGGATGCTTTCACAACACATAAGAATGAGCACACTCTATAACTAGTCATTGGTATAGAATGAAGATGCGCCGTCGCGGAAACATCAAAGCTGATGTGCTTCTAACTGCTCTAGTCCAGCTACCACCAGCTCCAGCACATCCGGTTCAACAAACTCCATCAACCCTACACAGCATCCAAAACAACCAACAGGACGATTTATATGCTATGATGTACAATCTTGATATATCCGAATCTCAGGAGAATAGTCCTCAAGGCCCTATTGGATGGCTTGAAATAAGAAAAGGATGGACTGGAAGATGATAGG